GGGTTCAGGGTTCAGTGTTTGGGGTTCAGGGTTTAGGAATTAGGGTTCAGGGTTCAGGATTAACGTTGTGCCTGGACCCTAAAACAAATTACCTCTTTATGGACTTAGTATACTCATAATGAGGAACACTCCAATTGGTAGGTTATCTGGCACATTCTTTGGATTAAGGTTGGCATTCAGAGTGTAGGATGCCGTCCCCTAAATCCTGCGGTTCTAAACGCCGAAAACAGAAATCAAGACCTTGAGCCCTATACACCTTAAACCCTCAACCATACACCCCTAGCCCAAAACACTACACACGAAACCCTAAACCCCAAGCCAAAATCCTAAACCCCGAAAATGCCAACTAAAACCCCGATAAAGGGCTCTTGAGCTGCTTGGGTCTGAAGCTCGTCGTAATTCGCGGGGCTTGGGGCTTTAAAGGTGATCTATACTAGAATGAGAGCAGTAAGGGTTTAGGCTTTATAGGGTTTGGGAATTTAATAAGGGTTTGAGTTTTGGGCTCGGGGTTTGTAGAAGCGGAACTAGATGAACCGATTCTTACCGCTTCTCTCGCCTCTAACATAGCTAAATCAAACAAGCGAACGTAAGACCTCAGAGCATTCTGAAAGACTTTGCACAGACTCGGTTTAGGGGTTTAGCGGGGCACAGTTTAGGGTTTGGCACAGACTTTTTATGACTCTTCACCGTTAGCGATAGTCCAGAATCTCCGCTCATCCAAGCCGAAACCCAAAGTTGCCCGTAGAGCCTCGACTGCTCACGACTCCTAGCAAGCCCTATGCCGCAAACTCACATGACAGTAGGCTTATTTGCTGAGTCCACAACTCAACAACTCAGGCGGGCGAAAACCCTAAACAGAACAGCCTCAACTTCCTGTCCAATGTAGAGATCCTCCGGAACCTTTGGAGTTGCCAAAGGCTGGGAAAAGACTTTGCATGGTTTAAGCTTGAGGGTTTAGACGGATTCAGGGCCTAAGGTTTGCATGTGCAATAGTATGACAAGTGTCTGCAAAGACATTCACAGAGACATGTACGACACGGGAGTTTTGAATACCCTGGCCTGCAAACAAGTTGAATAAGTCCTGTGCAATACCTCTGCGCAGAGCATCGGTGGGACACCCGTCAATTTACATACGTGGAGGTACCCTACACCTGAATCCATCGCACTGGACCTGTCCAGCCCTGCTAGAGTAACCCCCAAAAACTTGGAAACCAGATTGGGCTTAACATTGCTGGGATTCCCTATACACGAATCTGAAGGACTGAGGCTATTGGGTTTCCAACTTTGGGGCTTCTACTGTAAACCCTTAGGCCCGAAAGCCCTGGGAGGTTTTGCCGGCACATACGCACCTCAAAGGACAGCTACATTGCAGCTACATTCCCTCAGCTACACCACCTCTACCTCGACCCTCTCGTCCTAGCAACCCAGAAGTCTATGCCATCTCTCCCCCCGCACGAAAAAAGACCGAATAGCTCTAAAACATACACTGCCTCGCCCCGTCGCCTGTGCCCATGGCCATAAACCCCTACACGAAGAACCCATCCCTGAAAACCAAATTCCAAGGTCCCAAGCCCCAAAGTGCAAAACCCTAAATGCCCCAAGCCCCAAATTCTAAACCCTGAACGGGCCTCTCTCAAGCTCAGCTTTCCATAGGCTTCCGTACCCATGTCGATGATGGCAAACTCCTCGTCGATCGCGTGGATCTTGCCGGTGCATTTCCTGAGTCACTGCTCGCAGCGGCGTGACACCCCAACTGTTGAAGACGATGTACCGGTTCAGTACATACTGCTTTTTATGTCAACGGGCTCCGATATTATATATATATATATACACATGTAGGTACTTTACGGCGAAATCACATGTATATATATATATATATATGTACACATGCGCTAGCCGGAAGCTTCTGACATTGCAGGAATGCTAGGGTCATAAGGCCCGGACTGAAACTCCCAAGCCCAAGCAATGCTGAAATCGTGCCGAACTTCATCTATACGTGTCAAATTGGGCTGGGAATTCCCTCATCCAAAACAAAGAGGCGAGTCCACAAATTCAGGAGAAGCATTCTTGCGTCCCGGTTCACGAACCCACAATCTGTCCTGACACGTAGCTTCTCCGAACCTCTACACACAGCCTCGGCCAAAGTACCAACTCCTTTCTCCAGCTGGGCCTGGGGACTGGCCTTGCATCACGGCCTTTCGTGCTCATGCAACTCTGTGCAGGTGCACTGCTTGGCCAAAGAATGCTCCACAGAAGAATTGCCGCAGCATGAATTGAGTTTCTGAAAACTCCCAAACCCTAAGCCCGAAACCCTAAGCCCTAAGCCTTTAGGTTCTCGTGACCGTTGCAGTCTTGCAGCTGATAGGGGCGGAGCTCGCTGGTCTGTAATCTCATGTCCTTCTCAAGTGATCACGCACTAGTCGTTGACCACAACAGAAGTACCATCAGCGGCACCGGTGATCTTCATCATCTGTGTCAAGATACCACCGGCAGCACGACCTATCACCACTGTAGCACGGGCAAACCAATGATACTATCGTGCTGAATGTGAGAGTAAGACCAGTAATGCTAATGCCGATGAAGGAAGCGGCAAACTCGTAAAACTGCGCAAGACGGCAAACCCTCAGACTTTGCTGCGCACCCTGCTCTTGGAAGCGTATTTTCAACAGCTACGGCTCGCATGAACCGGCATAACCATAAACAAACCCCAGGCTGCCCTGGATAAACCTCACGGCATCCTAAAGAGAGCTTAATCAGATCACTGAACTTCAGTGAAAGCACCCCTAAATAGTTTCTCCATAAAAGCCCGGAGCCCAAATCCCATCAACTCTGGGTCCTAGGCATGTTTGCTAAACCCTGGCTCAACGGTTTAGGGTTTAGGGGGTTTAGGAACGAAACTCACGTCTTAGGGGTGCAATCCGGCAAAGCAGAAAGAGTAGCCCTATGAGGGACCCTCATTGCTTGAAGCCTTCAAAGAACCCTAAACCCTACACCTCAAAATGCTAGACCCCTAAACCCTAAACCCCTAAACCCTGAACCCCTAAAGCCCTAAACTCCTAAATCCCTAAACTCCTACATCCAAAGCCCCTAAACCATAAACCCTAAACCCTAAATCCTAAATCCCTAATCCCTAAATCATGAACCCAAAGCCCTCCTTGGCATGCACGATGGTTTCCACCACGGGACCACCAGGTCTTCGATAAGTAACGACATAGACGCCTTAGGGTTTAGGGTTTAGGGATTAGAAGGCTTGAAGGCTTTAAGGGTTTGGGGAAATTATAAGGGTTTAGGGTTTAGGGCTTAAGGCTTTAAGGGTTTGGGGAAATTATAAGGGTTCTATGAAGCTTTTTCGGGCTGGTTTTCTTTGGAACGTTCAGGATTTAATGCTGTAGGCGTTTAGGCCTTCAGCATCAACCGGCCGTGGGCCATGAAACCAAATCTGGTAACGCCTGACACCTTTCAATGCCGAAGCACCGGATCAGACGCATTGGTTCCTGGGTCCATGACCCTAATGATGGTCATGACCCAAAAACCTACTGCAAAGGTCATGCACATTAGATAGTATTGATCATGTAGCTTGATCAGGGTTGCGAAGTGAAATTAGTGGTGAAGTGGCCGCAGAGAGAACTAAGCTAAAAGTGTAGCGGTACTTGCGAAGTCTCCTGGTCCGTTTGAGTAGACCCTTCCCTAACCACCCAGGTACCTACTATATAGGGCCCTAGGGGCTCTGGTACCCTATATAGTAGGTACCTGGGGCGTTAGGGGATTTTTTGTTTCACGGCCTGGAGCTGGCACGTATACGTAGACACCAAAACCCTGTACAACCCCCCACGAAGTGCTGTAAACCCCAAATAGAGGGGCCTCAACAATTAGACTAGGGTGTTGGGGTATAGTATACTATAATTATAATAACGTGCCCCCGAAACCCTTTCAAATTATTACGGCCGCTACATTGCGGTATTGGTCATATGTCTCCTGATCCGTTGAAGTGCAGGATCGCAGCGACCCAGCAACCCTAGAATGCCGGTCCTTCGCGCTGCGCGCTGAACCCCAAGCATTTCCAGTCAGGAAGGCTCAGGGATTCGGGTTGTGTAGTTGAGGATTTAGGGTTTCGGGTTGGGTAGTTTAGGGTGGCCCAGCACTCACAACTGGGACCGGTTTAGTGTGCTTGGGGTTTCGGGGTTTGTAGAGCTTGGGGTTGTGGCCTAAGGTAGGGCTTTCTGGGGTTTTCTAGACTGAACTATAATAACCCATCAGAGTCCCACACCTCTCGGCTGGACGTCCTTGACTCTCGCACGCCTTGCAAAGCTCCGGGCCCGGTTTGGGGTTTAAGCTGAAACCCGACCCTAAGCCCTAAACCCATTGAAAGGAACATGTCCCTCGTAGCTTAGAATTATTCTGTTATAGGTTTGGTTTACTGGGGTTGGGGTTCAAGGACAATGGTTGTGTTAGAAATCGCACCCAAGCTCTCGGAATATCAGTTGAGAGGTTTGGGGTGTAATTAAGGCTCTATACGACGCACATGATCGCAAACCACATGTGTCGCACATTGCTTGCGATCCACAGGCAGACTGATGCCACACAGAGACGAGAAACTCACAACTTGCACGGACACGCATGTAGTGCTCGCGAACCCATCCATCCGTACTTCATGCATGCACGCATGAATGCAAGCATACTGACAAGACATCAGTGCGGCACTAAACGTATGCACCCTTGTGTGCATGAAAAGGTAAACAGGCTGAATAATTGCAAAGACGCCTCTACATACAGACATCTATCTATGTATGTATGTATGTATGTATGTATGTATGCATGTAGGTATGTAGGTATGCAGGTATGTATGTATGTATGTATGTATGTATGTATGTATGTATGTATGTATGCATTTATCGATGTATGTATGTAGGTATATCTTGTGCATGGGTGACAATCACAATAGTAGTGGTAATACTACTAATGATAATACGACTACTAGTACGACTAATAATAGAATAATGAGAGCCGCAATAATAGTAACAATAACAGTAATAACAATGTAACAACATATTAATATACGTATTGTTAGTACTGTTACTATGACTACGATTAGTAGCATGAGTACTATGATTACAATCAGTATGCATACACATGTATGTGGTATATACACATGTGCGAATTCATGTTGAAATGGTGGTTTGTCTCTCGTCACATGTAGAACGTTGCCAGCATCAGACGCCATCAGCAACAGCACGGAAAGAAGGATGAGGCAACCCTAAACCGTAAACCCCTTCTCTCAAACGGGCTAAAGCCCCTAAACCGCCCCAAAGCCCTAAACCCCTAAAGCCCAAAACCCTAAACCCCTGAAACCCTAAAGCCCAAGACCCTAAAACCACAATCTCAGGCGGCCGAAGAAAGCCAAGATTCGTTGCTCCGACCCCCTGCAGCACGAAGAGGACTCGGTGACCTTTGCGGAAGTCCTGCCGGGATCTGCGCTTGAGGTTGGGTCTTTATAGGGTTTAGGGTTTAGGGTTTAGCTTCGCGGCTTCGGAATGAATCCCTAACCCCCCAGGTACCTACTATATAGGGCCCTAGGGGTTCTAGTACCCTATATAGTAGGTACCTGGGGCGTCAGGGAATTGTGGGCCTGAGAGGGCGTCATTTCTTTGCGCGTGTCTCCCAGACTGCGAAAACCTGGATATGGTTCGACGCACCTGCACCTCCTATCTCCAAGATCCACCGCCAGAGTGGGACCGGCACGGAGTGATCAGGGTATCGGATTATCGGAGGTTTGACATGCCTGAACGACTCAGTGCGGAACGGCCGCGATGATCCGCAGAGCAAAATCTGCATGACAAGTAGGCTATGTTTTGCGTGCCTTCTTTGAAACTGTCAAACGCGGTTCCCCTTTCCAGAGGCTAGATGACAGCACTCCATAACGGTCACATCTGAATCTCCATGTTTGTGTCCAAAACAATGCTCTTGATCGAGGGGCCCTAAACTCTCTCTCTCTCTCTCTCTCTTTCTTTCGCCAGGGTTAGGGGCAAGAGGATTGCTCCCCTTACCTCTCTGTCTCTCTCTCTCTCTCTCTCTCATAGGCATTAGTGTCCTAAACCTCTAAACTTGACTGAAGATTCCAGGCTTTGGCAAACCACGAACATGCAGGGGACTTATATACTTGTTAAATAGGGTTTGCCGGGAATGTGTAGTAGAATGTTAAAGAGACTATAAGAGACTACTGGGACAATTGGTTCAAGCCAATGTATTGTGTATGTCACATCGTATTTGGACTTTCTTCGCTTTGGCTTCAGAACTCGGTGTCCGCCTTTGAACTACAGCATCTTGTCTCGGGATGTGATGGAAGTACGTATACACATACCGCAGATGTGCGTGTATGTGATCATGACGACAAGGATGATGAGCAGCATGCAAGGTAGCATCCAGGTGGGGGTGCATAGGTTCATTCGCTATACATGTACGTGTAACAGAGTACGAGCCCCACATGTCTGCCGCTCTCCCGGACCTTGTAGACGAACATGGGCTCAAGCTCGTCCTCTTCCACGGTGAGCCACTCGGAATCTCGGTCCGGCATGTCCTCATGAATGCAAACACAATTCTGCTAGGAACATCTTGGAGATCAAAGAACTTGTGAAAACCTGCAACGCAGACCTGGTCGGACGAAGAAGACAACTTTCAAACAATGAACCTTACAGAAACAGGTGCAGCAACGCAAGCTGAAACTCGGGCGGGCCGCGCTCTCTCTCGCTCTCTCTATCTCTCTCTTTCTGGGTTTAGGGTTTTAAGTTTAGGGTCTACATGTAGGGATTAGGGTTTTGGGGGCTTAGGGTCTAGGGTTTACAGGGCAAACCACGATTGCAAGCAGATGGCCTTTATTTCCGAAGGAACGGCGGACTGAAACCCAATGCGGACTCGTTTGTATCACTACGCAACTAAGTCGTCCTTTAAGCCCTTTGAAAATTATTTACTATTATGGTTCTCTACAAAATATTAAGGGAAATTATAAAAGATCCCAAAAGACAACCCAGGCAAGGCAATCGGCTCCTAGGCTGTCCTTCTTACGAAAGCTTTGCACTACACTGTCATGGAACACCCTGAATCCTATAGTTCAAGTGCTCGTAGCTGGCTGTAATACAGACTACGGGCGCCTTAATAATTAGAAAAGGGTTTTGGGGTAGATCGCAGTATCACGGTAAGAAAACAGGGTTTTCTAGGCGGATGTTGTTGCTTCTTATTCCGACATGTATATTGCTCGCAATGAACCAGGAAGCTGCAGCCCATGCCCCTGCTCAAACCTGATATAAACCCTAAACCCTACACTTCAAAACCCTAATGGTTCAAGCCCCACTGCAAGTCCCATGACATAGGCCAAAAGACCCGTGCCCAGAGGAATCTACTGAACTGAATAAACGGGTCTAGTTTTTGGGTGGGTTCTCAAACCTCATAAAGCCAGAGTTGGAATTTGGATTTCTTTGGGCCTCCAAACAGCCCAAAATAGGCTTGAAGTCTTGTTCATTGCTTCAAACCCGGGCTTGGGGCTTTGCATGGAATGGCACTTCTCTGAGGCCATGGATCCGCTTTTACGGAGTAGAGGCCCTCTGCTTTCACCGCCTGGATGACGCCTGGCAGGCGGTGCCCCAGAGGGGCCCCGTTGCAGATCTTCTTAAACAACCCTAAACACTAACATCGAGTCCTCTACGACATCTTCGGATTGGGGGCTCGGACTTTGGACTTCGGTACTCAGTGCTTCGGCGATGTGGGGCTTTACCGTGACAGTGTTAGGCTTGATGCAGATTCTGTTGCTTTCGTGTGTTGGTATAGAAAAGCAACAGTCTGATGCTGGGTTGTCGGGGGGGTTGTTTTGGCATTTAAGGGGTGGGGGGGGGGTGGGCGGGGGGGGGGGCGGGGGCGGGGGTGGTCCGGCCACAGAAACCGTCGCCAGTAACAACTACTACTACTGCCACGACGACTGCCACTACTTCTGCTTCTCCTACTACTACTACTACTACTACTACTGCTACTACTACTACTACTACTGCTACTACTGTTACTACTATTGTTACTACTATTCTACTACTACTACTTCTTCTTCTACTACTGCTGCTACTACTACTACTACTACTTCTTCTTCTACTGCTACTGCTACTGCTACTGCTACTGCTACTGCTACTGCTACTGCTACTGCTACTGCTACTGCTACTGCGAAAGCTATTGCTACTGCTACTGTTAAAGCTACTGCTACTGCTACTGCTACTGCTGCTGCGGCACTGCTACTGCGCTGCTACTGCACTGCTACTGCGCTGCTACTGCACTGCTACTGCACTGCTACTGCACTGCTACTGCTACTGCGGCTTCTACCTACTCGTACTGTACTAGTACCTGCTCCTGCTGCTCCTGCTCCTCCCCCTCCTCCTCTTCCTCCTCCTCCTACTACCACTCCTCCTGCTGCTGTTTCTAGTGCTACTGCTCCTGGCCTGAGCCCGGACCCGAGGTTTATTGCTCCCGAAGCCGAAAGCTACCAGCGCACAGAAACTCAAGCCCTTTGCACCAAGTGTTCCTCAACCCGCCGGGTTTAGGGTTTAGGAGCTGTGAATTCTGCAGCTCTGATCCCAACCGTAATGCAGAAACCCAGAGTCCCGTGGCCTTCACACCACTCTTGGCGTTCAGGATGCAAGACGCGCACCTTTTTGACGACTCTACGATTCAGCATTTGCCTAGCCCGCCCAACTGCCCTCTAAGCATATCAGCCATAAGCCCTGGACCCTACAAGCCCGTTTCGAGGGCCACACCGTTGTTTTGGTACGTAGGTTCCCTAGACAAAGCCAGATTCCTTGTCTAGATTTTCAACTTTACATTCGAAGGTGCAGAAGGGCATAAATCCAAAAGCAATGAAACTCTATCCAGAGACATGAACTTGGAAGCCTGAATCTCAAGCTGAATGTGGACAGGGCCTCAATCCAGGAACCGAAAGCCCAGAGTCAGCTTCAGCAACAGATGATAACCTTCATGAAGAAATCCGTTGCATCCTTAACCCCACGGATCTAACCGTGTTTCGGATATCGGACTGCGCTACTCAAAAGCCACAGTTTGTTGGGACCAACCTCTGTTGAAACAGGAGCTTCCACGGTACCGGCCCCTGAACCTCGAACCCGGCCCTTTTTTCAGCATGGGCTTGGATTGGGTGCCAGCGAACACACCTCAACAGCAGGGCCTTCTCGTTTCTAGACCCGAAACATACATACAAGAAGTCCGGTCAGCTGTGTAATCGGTCCTGTACTGTGGTTATGTAAGGACCGCAGCCTATCTCGAAGGTAGCTGGAGCTGGGGCTCCAAGAAAAGCCAAGCAACGGCATCGCCAGGCATCAGCTGCTTTTCCGCCAACGCGGCCTCTTGCGCTCCGCGGCAAGTTGGATGATCCTCTCTAGGGCGCGAGGCTTTAGGATTCAGAGGGTCAACCGTCTGTGGGGTTTGCTAGAGTTTGGTAGTGGCTTAGCGAAGCTCATGATGCTATTGCTGGCGTGTAAGTTGTCTAAGAGGGGTTTTACATGGCAATTCATACTATGTAGTCCGAATATGCATCTCCATACCAAGAGTGATGGTTTACCAGTACGACGATTCACATATGTATATACGTTTTAGCACAATACCTTATGAATGTTAGTCTTGACATGAGCATCGACATGAACATTTACATCCATACAAACGCCATACAGTTCTAACAGTAGCACGAGTATCAGCACTGCATTCCCCAAGAAATGAAACGTCACCTACTCAGAGCTACTCAGGTCATCCAGACTGCGATCAACAGCCTCTGGGCGGGCTTTCTTATCTAGTTTTAGGTCTTACCTTAACCGAAAAAACACCTATCTCTGCAAGAGCTTTTGCGAAAAAATAAATCACAATAAGGCACCCTCAAAAGATGGGGTTCTTTGGGGGGTGCAGGTACGGGCTGGGGATCGAGAGCCCTTTGTCCTCAACTGGTGTGTACTCCAGGGTTTAGGGTTTAGGGTTTAATTCCCTAGGGGGATCAAAATTGTGACTAACTAACTTTGGGGGTCAAGTATATACTAGGGCCCTAGGGCATGCGCAGGGCTTACAACATTGCAGATAGGCAAAGGTTACCCGCTCGACTTCAAGATGTCACCGAAACCCTTTTGGCCGAGATGCCGCCCGGTGCCTGGGGCACTGCGTCCAGAAATGGCCCGGGCTTGCGATGAAGGCTTGAGACCATGAGCTGGCGACCTGGTGCATCATTGTAATGTGGGGGCCTCAATAATTAGAATATGGTTTTGGAGGTTCCTTATTATAGTTATAGTATAGTATAGCCCAAAACCCTATTCTAAATATTTAAGGCCCCTATATTATGGGTTTCGATTTCGGCTCTTGTCTTCGTGATGCAGGGTTGGGTGATCAGCCTACCTCCTCATGCATACTAGGCTTCGACAGGCTCTGCAAGGCCAGGAAGAAGAACTATCAATCCTGAATGATTACAACTACTGTTCCTTCGTGTTCCCCAATATATTGATAGACTGTTGATAGAATAGCATACCCCCCTGTATCAAAAACCGAGAGCAAGGACATTGCAAGAAACATCGGAAGCCTTAAAGCTTGCAGGCATCTTGACCCCCTCTAGCGTATGGTTTATGGGCTTAGGGTTTATAGGGTTTCGGGCGTTCGGGTTTAGTTAAAAAGCCCTCTAAGTGCGGACCATGAACCCTATGGCTATAAAACCCCAGGTTTTGATCTAGTAAGCCAACACCCACCCCACAGTCTTAGAGCTTCTACGTCTGGGCTGGGGCAGCAACGGCCGAAGGCCATCAGGCCATCGAGGGGGCTTGTTATTCTTGAAACCCTGAGATTCCAGCACCCCTTGGATTCAGGAATAGACTCTCAATCATAATCGGGACCACCTGATCCTGAATTGCTGTGGGCCCTAGAGCCCCACCTCCCACATGTCCAGCCAGGCCACTAGGAGTATGGCCACTCCCACTGCGCTGGTGCCGGCCCGCCGCGACTTCACCGCCATTGCTGCGGACAGGTGGCTTGGGGCCTCAGTTTTGCTTTGCGCAAAATGTTCAGGGCTTTACCAGGACGTGGCGTTTAGTGGGGTTTGAGTTTAGGGTTCGAGAGGGATGCCTGGGGTTCTCGGGCATCATTAGAGGCGGAGTATAGATGCATTTTGTGTCGGAGCTTTGCGAGACCATGAGGCGGAGGATACTTGGTGGGTTCGGGTCCAGATATTCCAGATTCGGATACTGACTGAATTTCACGGCTGAGGCGGAGTATTTGGGTTCAGGGTCTGGGTGTCAGAGTGTAGGGCTTGGGGATTTATTGTTGATAGGGCTGGGTCAGAGAAACCTTGTTTTAGGAGGCATGTTCATAAAAAACCTGGTGGCAGTCTGTATGCCCATAGCATGTATCTACCTACATGTGTGTGTATATATATATATATTTATATTTGTATTTATATATATATACACACCATAAAAATATATATACACGTACACACCATAGACCACACATATATATATATATATATATACCGTGTATATATATATATATACATATATGCACGTCATATATATATATATACATACATACATACATACATACATACATACATACATACATACATACATACCATATATATATATACACATGTATATATGCTGCAGCATATTCCACTCTATACGAGCGCAGCTTA